TTAAAAATGTGTGTTTTCTCCCCATTGTCTCAGCCCAAAATCTCCTTAAGCTGATCAGCAACTTCAGCAAAGTCTCAGGATACAAAATTAATGTGCAAAAATCACAAGCATTCTTATACACCAGTAACAGACAAACAGAGAGCCAAATCAGGAATGAACTTCCATTCACAATTGCTTCAAAGAGAATAAAATACCTAGGAATCCAACTTCCAAGGGATGTAAAGGACCTCTTCAAGGAGAACTACAAACCACTGCTCAGTGAAATAAAAGAGGACACAAACAAATGGAAGAACATACCATGCTCATGGATAGGAAGAATCAATATCGTGAAAATGGCCATACTGCCCAAGGTGATTTATAGATTCAATGCCATTCCCATCAAGCTACCAATGAGTTTCTTCACAGAATTGGAAAAAACTGCTTTAAAGTTCATATGGAACCAAAAAAGAGCCCGCATCTCCAAGACAATCCTAAGTCAAAAGAACAAAGCTGGAGGCATCACGCTACCTGACTTCAAACTATACTACAAGGCTACAGTAACCAAAACAGCATGGTACTGGTACCAAAACAGAGATATAGACCAATGGAACAGAACAGAGTCCTCAGAAATAATACCACACATCTACAGCCATCTGATCTTTGACAAACCTGAGAGAAACAAGAAATGGGGAAAGGATTCCTTATTTAATAAATGGTGCTGGGATAATTGGCTAGCCATAAGTAGAAAGCTGAAACTGGATCCTTTCCTTACTCCTTATACGAAAATTAATTCAAGATGGATTAGAGACTTAAATGTTAGACCTAATACCATAAAAATCCTAGAGGAAAACCTAGGTAGTACCATTCAGGACATAGGCATGGGCAAAGACTTCATGTCTAAAACACCAAAAGCAACAGCAGCAAAAGCAAAAATTGACAAATGGGATCTCATTAAACTAAAGAGCTTCTGCACAGCAAAAGAAACTACCATTAGAGTGAACAGGCAACCTACAGAATGGGAGAAAATTTTTGCAATCTACTCATCTGACAAAGGGCTAATATCCAGAACCTACAAAGAACTCAAACAAATTTACAAGAAAAAAACAAACAACCCCATCAAAAAGTGGGCAAAGGATATGAACAGACATTTCTCAAAAGAAGACATTCATACAGCCAACAGACACATGAAAAAATGCTCATCATCACTGGCCATCAGAGAAATGCAAATCAAAACCACAGTGAGATACCATCTCACACCAGTTAGAATGGCGATCATTCAAAAGTCAGGAAATAATAGGTGCTGGAGAGGATGTGGAGAAATAGGAACACTTTTACACTGTTGGTGGGATTGTAAACTAGTTCAACCATTATGGAAAACAGTATGGCGATTCCTCAAGGACCTAGAACTAGATGTACCATATGACCCAGCCATCCCATTACTGGGTATATACCCAAAGGATTATAAATTATGCTGCTATAAAGACACATGCACACGTATGTTTATCGCAGCACTATTCACAATAGCAAAGACTTGGAATCAACCCAAATGTCCATCAGTGACAGATTGGATTAAGAAAATGTGGCACATATACACCATGGAATACTATGCAGCCATAAAAAAGGATGAGTTTGTGTCCTTTGCAGGGACATGGATGCAGCTGGAAACCATCATTCTCAGCAAACTATCACAAGAACAGAAAACCAAATACCGCATGTTCTCACTCATAGGTGGGAACTGAACAATGAGATCACTTGGACTCCGGAAGGGGAACATCACACACTAGGGCCTATTATGGGGAGGGGGCAGTGGGGAGGGATCGCATTGGGAGTTATACTTGATGTAAAGGACGAGTTGATGGGTGCTGACGAGTTGATGGGTGCAGCACACCAACATGGCACAAGTATACATATGTAACAAACCTGCACATTATGCACATGTACCCTACAACTTAAAGTATAATAATAATAAATAAATTAAAAAATAAATAAATAAAATAAAAATTAAAAAAAAATATGTGTTTTCTACATTTTTCTGGAAGTAGAATCTGGGAGAAACCATAAGATAAAAGGCCACATCGCGATGTTACTGAGCCCCCGCACTTGAACACAGTAATTCTGGATGCTCCATACCTAGAAAGCATCTTTTCATTTTTTAACCATCATTTTTTAAGAATTTAACTAGATATGTTTTTAATTGACATATAGTAATTGTACCTATTTATGAGGCACATAGTGATGTTTACATACATGTAAGATTCAGTGATCAGATCAGGGTAATTAGCATATCCATCATATCAAACATTTATCATATCTTTGTGACAGGAACATTCAATATCCTCCTTTAAGCTGTTTTGAAAATATATAATATATTATTTTTAACTATAATCATCCTAAAATGGTATGAACACTGAAACTTAACCCTCCTATCTAGTTGTAATTTTATATCGTTTAACAAATCTCTCCCAATCTCTCCCTCCCATCCACTTCCCCTTGCCCTTTCTTTCCCAGCCTCTAGTACCTTTTAAAGCTGAAAAAGGGGAAACACTGAGAACAAGTAAAAAGAAACTCAACCTTATACTATGCAGAGGATATAACTCTTCATAAACAGATGCTTAGAACGTATTATTTAATGTTACCTTAACAACCATTACAGTTACAAAATATACATATATAATTAGCTGTACGATATCAGTGACAGAGTCTGGTCAATAGTGAGCTGCAGATTTCCAATTCTTCGACATGGAGAAAATCAATTTCAAAGGGATGCAGTGAGGTTATAGAGCAGAAAAATCGTTGGCACTGGAAGCAACACAGCATGTAATGCTTTAGCATTGAACAGACGGGTTTGAGCCTCAGCTCCCATCCCTTGCTGGCCGTGTGGCCTCAGACAAGTTATCTAACTTCAAATCTGGTTTCCTCAAATGTAAGATGGGACGTTGTCCATACTGCATGTAATTGTTAAAAGGTAAGCACTATTTCATGTTTTATAATATATGTGCCCAATCAAGATCAATTCTCTTTGGCCACCTTTTCCAGCCAAACTTTCTGGAATACATAGATCAACGAGCACCCCATATGGCATTTACTGTGAGCTATGGCTAGCTCTGTCCTCACTACTCATGTGGTGACCCCCAACTCCTTGAGAAACTACCAATCTTGATAAGTTGTCTTTTTAAGTTTATTTTCTGCACTTTTCCTTAGAGCATATTCTGGCATTCCGTCCTCGCTGAACACACGGTGGTCACTCAATACTGCCACTCTGGTCTCAGGGACTCAGCCAGGCATACCCACGTTGGAGAGGGATGCCTGGCATCTATTTCCCAGCCCCTGCATCTACTTCAAGTGAAAATCATAACATAGTTCTTTTTTCTTGTGCTTCTTGCAAGCTTCTTTGTATAATTTCATCTAGGATTAAAACGCAGACACACACATCTTTATATCCCCAGGCATTTTGTGTCCTTATCTAAAATTAGTGCAGTTGCTGCTATACTATTTTAGGAAATACAGGCTATCCTTCACTCTTTACATCCACCAGCTTAGCCGGCTGAGTATCCCTGTGCAGCATGGGGTATATGGATTCACTACCAAATCCTGAAACCACCAAGCTGCTCCTTCTATTCCACTTGATCAGCATAGCAAATGTGTGATTGGTTGGGTGCAAGAGCCAATAGAAAAGACAAAGATGATGTGGATGTGAAGATGTAGATGAGACACTAAGAAGAGGGTGTCTGAGGTCTGGTTCCTTAAAAGCAGAACCTGAGATGGGGATGCTTGGCAAGTGGTGGGGTGCTCTCAGGAGGGGCCTGCTGAGGAGGGAGAAAAAGCAGAACAGGACAGAGAAAGAAGGTAAGCAAATATGTAGCTTTAGATCAAATCTAGGCTCATCCTCGTCCCACAGGAAGTTTTAAAGTGTGAATGGCACCAGGATCACTCTGTGATTGTTTGAAAGCTGCCTCAAGGGAAGGGCACAAACTATAGACATTTGCAGCAGCCTCCTGGAAGCCTAAGGTAATTGCTTCAGAAAACGAGGAAGCTGTGAGCCAACACCCAACACATAACAGCTGGGAGGAGACAGGTCTCCATCCTGGTTAAGGGGACTTGTACAGGACACCACCCCTGGTGTGAAAAATAACAGGCACATTAGAGCAATAATAATAATAATAAAAGCTATAGAACGGCTATAGAATGCATAGAATTCAGGGATTATATTTATACATTTGTTCAATTTTCCACCAATAGTATTGGTTCTTAGGTGAAATATGTGCTCAATAAATGATTAAACTAAATAGAAATTATCATGTTATAAAGTGAGCTGGAGAAAAAATGGTTATTAATTTAAAAATGGGATCATCTGAGTTAATACCACATGGAGATTTTGAGTTCCACAGCAATGGAAAAGCATACCTTGTCAACTGGTAGAATTCTGTCTTGTTTCACCTTCTTTATCCACCAGCAGCAGATGTACTATGTGGTAAGGAAGAAAGGTTTTGGACTTGGTATAAAAAAGAAGGGAGCTGTAATCTCATCTTGGTCACCTACTAGTTTTATCTCAGTGGATTAGACTCAAATGAACAGAGTCTCAGTTAATTCAACTTAAAAATTAATATTTAATAACTGTGCCACCTAACTCATGGTGTTCTTGTAAGGTTCAAGTGAGCTAATGATGTAGCACTGGAATACCTGTGTCTTTTTTGTTTGTTTGTTTTGTTTTGTTTTGTTTGTTTTGTTTTGAGATGTAGTTTCACTCTCGTCGCCCAGGCTGGAGTGCAGTGGTGCGATCTCAGCTCACTGCAACCTTTGCCTCCTGTCTTTGCCCCTTCTCCTCTGAATCCTTCAAGCGATTTTCCTATCTTAGCCTCCTGAATAGCTGGGACTACAGGCACATGCCTCCATGCCCAGCTAATTTTTGTATTTTTAGTAGAGACGGGGTTTCACCATGTTGGTCAGGATGGTCTCCAACTCATGACCTCAAGTGATCTGCCCGCCTCGGCCTCCCAAAGTGCTGGGGTTATGGGCTTAAGCCACCGCACCTGCCCGATACCTGTGTCTTTAACACACATGGCAGACTCCAACTCCTAGGGTTAGGGGAAGGAGTGACTGTATTGACATGGTAAGAAAGCTAGATAAGGAATGGGATCAGCTGGCCTCATGGGTTGGCACAAGCTACTTACAAACCATAAGGATTCCCTTTCATCATTTCTTGTTCCTCTTCCTATGTCAGCTTCATTCTCATGGACTTTACTGCTTTTCTTGTGAGACTGGAAATATGACAGAGAAGAGCTTTGAAGTTCATTAACTGAGAGGGAAGACGCGACTCTTGGTTCTCACTAAAAGAAAAAAAAATACTGACTGCGATTCTCTTTTTATTGCACAGATTATAGACCCTGGGAAATGGGGTCAGTGGGGCACAGTGTTTAGCAGCCACTCTATGACTTTCATCTGAAGTCAGGAAAAAAACAATTTTCCAAAGGAAGGGCTGATCCCAGGAGAAAAGAAGATTTGGTGTGGGAGACAGAAGATGGATATCTACTGGGATACTAGACATGGCATCAGAAGATATGAGCTTAAGTATCTTTTTATGTATTGTGTCCTTGAGTATATATCAATGAATCTATCCAAACATCTTATTCATCAATAAAATGGGGATACTGATATATATATTATGAGGCTTTCTAAAGATTGAAATGGATAATTTATGGATGAAGATGCTTTGTAAAATGTAATATGCTTTGCAAAATGTAATGTGCTTTCAAAATTATAATAAGATGTCATTATGAATTATGCACTAAATACAGAGCACTTCTCAGGCATATATGCATTTTAGATTAGTTTTTTAAATGGTGGGGAAAAAAAAACTAAACGTTTAATGGCTGCCTTTTCAAAGCTTGCAGCCAAATCTACCACACCATAAAAACATTAAAAATATGCACTCTAAGGAAACAGCCTGGGCTGAAGGTGGCACTATCTTCAGTTCGTTGCCTCTTCAGAACAGTTGTTCTCTGTAGGGAGTGACACAAGGTACCGTTTAGTGAGGTGTCAGCTCTGTAGAGTTTTCTCCTTTCATTCTCCGAAATCGAAAGTGATCCCCACATAAAGGATTTGCAGCTGTGTTGGGAAATGAGCTAGTCACGCCTCAGCAATTTATGGCCAATTTTCCATTAATAAGAGAGAATGGAGTGTGGTTCAATCACTTTACAATCCAAACACTTGTTCTTAAGAATGGGAGAGAGACAGTACAATAGTTTCATTCTGTTTCTGAAAGAGCATTAATTCAATATTGTGTATCTTTGAAGAAAAACATTTAGATGGCTCTAAGTGGTAGGAAGGTAAGTTTTACAGGAAAATATTTTGAAAGCCATGCATTAGAAATACCACCTGAAGTGCACAGGCAAGAGATGGGCCAGAGGGCCATGAGCACAGCCCAGGAAAGTGGAAGGGTTAGGAGGAAAAGAGAGACAGAATGAGAAGTGGGAATGGAAGTTTCAGGACATAAATCCAAGACAGGATCTCAGTTTAGAGTAGATTCCCTATAGTAGGGGCCCAGAACCACAAGTTTTAGGTGAGGCAGAGCTAGAGGATAGGAGACCAAAGTAGAGCCACAGAAGGTACCAAAGACCCAGGATGACCAGTTCGTAAAATTCAGGGCAAATAAAGAGTTAAAAAGGTGAACTGGGACGGAAGGACAAAAGCAAGACACCAGTCAAACTCTGGTCCCAGGGACTTGTAACACATTCCCCAACACACGTCTTCCTTGGGCTCACAGAGAAGGCAGCAAAATGTTGGTTGCAGGAAAGAACCCTGTGTGTAAATATAAGGATGAAAACTGCTTAACAGTCAGCAGACAGAGAGACCAGATGAGATTTCCAAAAACAGTGGAATATTTTTTATGTAGCTTCTATTTAGTACGCTCATCAGATCAATTTTCTCAGTTCTGTCTTTACAACGTGTTGATGGGTGATTGCCTTACTTTGGATCCCCTCAGAAGAAGATCTAGAGACAAAGATTTGGGTGTAAGTTGTTGATTTGGGAAGTGATACCAGGAATACTCACGAGAGTGGAGAAGGGGAGGCAGAAGGAAAGGGAACCAAGAAAAGGTCTATCAGTGAGCAGGTGACTACTGTGGACAGCTTGGGGACTGAGTAGAATCTGTTTCAGAACAGTCCCAAGGAAGTAGAAGAATGCTGGACTATTTACCCATCAACACCTGTCCCTCATGAATCTCATGCCTGAGAGTCCCAGCACCACAACAATTCCAGACTTCCCTCAGGTAGAGAGGCACGGGCACTTGAGGGAGGAAGACAGCAATGCTGCAGGTGACGGCCAAAGTGGGCCCGGGAGCCAATGATGGCTACAGCCAGCTTCCACTACAGTGACCGAAACATCCCCACTCCTCAGCCAAAGCATCTCTCTAGTAAGCCCAGGCACTGCTCTTCTGCCTTGATAACAGGGTTACTTACCAAGAGTCTACTGGGTTTATTACCAAATGTATTCGAATTATAATTGTTATTATAATTATGAAAGAAAATTAATTTATGTAAATTGGATTTATGCAAATCAGTGAAATTTGAGTGCACAGAGAAAAAGGTGTTTCAGTGAAATAGAAGTTGGATATGTGAGACAAAGTAGCAAACAAAAGCCATTTTTGTTTATTTCTGCTTGCCAGGGTAACTTCACAAAGCCCCTGATTCTGTGACGATGTGCAGCTCTCCGGAAAGATGCTTTGAAGATAAAACGGGATAGAGCACATGGATCTCTCCCGTCTCTTGCCTGGGCCACTGTATTCCTCAAAAGATAAATGACCCTAGTCCTTTCTTTTTCATACACAGAAGATTACATGTGACAGGGTTAGTGACTGTGCTTCTATAATCTATAAGCAAATGAACTTTAGTGATGGAAAACCAGATGTATTCTTACACCCAAACCTTGATGTGATTCTGCTTCAACATAACTTCTGAGTAACTTTGATGTGATTTTGCCCATACTGAGCCCCCACGACCTGGATATAAGCTGTGGGCTGAAACACTGGGCCAGATAGTCTTAGAGGACTGCTCCCAAGCCGGAGGCCTTGGCCTACAGTCCTCATTAAGACTGCTGAATACAACTAACTTGAATCCTTTAAAAAAACAGACTTTTTTTCTGTAGTCGGCAAATGCTTCAGAATGGTCTGATGAAAGTGAGCCAATAAAAACGGTTTGTTGAATTAGGTATGGCTGAGAAAATTGTGGAGGTATTGGAGAGAAATTGTAACAATCAAGAAAGATGATTCAATCGGATTGCTTTGCAAGTCACTTTCATTCTTGCTCCAATGTAAAGAAACTGAAGTTGGGTGTCATAGGGGATACATGAAAGGTATGATTTATTAAGAGAGACAACACATAACACCAATTAAGGTACCCAGAGTCAGAGAAGAGACCTTCGCTGTACATCAAAGATTCGCAAATGAATGTCAATTTGTGTTTTAAGTTAAAATAAAAATGTTTAAGGCACATATGAGTCATTTTCATGAGCCCTTACGTTAGATAATTTTTTAAATGAATCTACCCACTACTAGCTTTGCGTTTGTTGCATGAGACATGCTTCAGCTCCACTCTGAGGAAAACACTCTGAGACTATAGCATGATTCCTCACACACAGTCAGCTGCCTGGAGTGTTTTATTTTAAGCTTCTCAAGAAAATTGAAGTACAAAGGAACAAGTGCTTCCTCAGCATCTTGGAAATTGGGATTAAGGGTCAAAAAGGTTAAGATTTCATGCCGAGAATGGTTGAGGCCAATCACAAAGATCTATGGGAGGAAAAAAAGCTAACAAAATTAAATGAAGATTTAGGAAAGTAAATATTCAAGCTTCACTGCTGTACCTCATGGAAGCATTGTACCGTTACCGGGACACGACAATACAGCTTCGAAGATTAAAAAGGAAAGAACTGACAAATAAGCTTTTAGCTAATTTTCGGCATAAGAAAGGTGTCAAATTCTTGGTAACATAAGATCGCAGATGCTTAAACTCCAGAGACTGCTTGGAGTTCCTTCTTCTTCTTGTCATTTAACAGTTTATTTAATGCTTTGGGTATTTGGACACTTGTCACTTAAGAAAGAGTCATTGTATGGCTTTCAAGATTCAGAATCACTGAGGTTGAGTACCAGGCTTTGTAGTTTAGAAGATTGTTTTTGTATCACATACGTATACACTGGCTTACTGTGGATAAGTTCTTATTACCCTGAAAATGTTCTAACCACATCAAAGTAAGCCTAACCAATATTTTTTTGTAATGATAAATTTTCACATCAACAAGGTAACCACATTATAGCCTCTCTTTCTCCTAAAATACAAATCATCCGTTATGTAATTAAACGAAATTATAAGATAACACCATGTTATATTTCTGAGCTTGTGTGCATAAAGAAGAAAATTTCCAGTAAAGTTGAAAAGTGTATTTATTTATCCCTTATTTTGTTCCAGAAATAATTAAAGTCAAACTATAAAGCAACATAAAGTGCAGCAAGAGAACAGAAACATCTGTGATTTAATTCCTCAAAAATATCAAAGAATTTACAGGATTTGGATTTAAATATCAATTAACCTTCTTTGAACCAGAAAATCGAAACACAACTTCTCTCTTTTTTCCCCCTTTAAGCAGTGTACCCCACCACCCCCAGCCCATGCTATGAGTCCCAGGGCCTAGGTGCAAATGGAAGGTCCCCAGTTTGACTGGCAGCCTGCCCTGCTCCTTACATGTCTTGTCATGTCTCTGTCAGCACCATGAGGGGTCTCCCGTGCCTGTGTGTGCACCCCCAGCCTGCACGTCCAAGCCTGTTTTCTCACCACTCCCCAGCAACCTTGAGAACCCCTCAGCCCTGGGGTGTTCTCACTGACTGTGCCTCTGCATTTGGAGATGGACTAGATGATCTGTCCAGGCAAAGGATCCTGGGGTCCTGGTGCGGTAGGCAGAATAATGACCTCCCACTCCCAAGGATGACCACTCCCTTTTCCCCAAAACCTATGCAGATGTTACATTATATGACAAGGGGGTATTCAGGTTGCTTATGGAATTAGGTTTAATAATCAACTGGCATTCAAATAAAGAGATTATCCTGGATTATCTGTGAGATGGGGGTGGCATATAACTGAAAAGGTCTTTAAATGTGGAAGAGGGAGGCAGAAGAGTAAGAGTCAAATTGATGTGATGGAGAAAAACTTGGCTGGCCATTGCTGGCTTTGAAGACGAAGGAAGGGGCCAAGAGAAACTGAAGGGGCCTCTAGAAGCTGGAAAAGCAAGAAAAGGAATTCACCCTGGAGTCTCTAGAAAGGAAGGCACACCTGCCAACACACTGATTTTAGCTCAGTGGGCCTATTTTAGACTTCTGACACTCAGAACTATAAGATAATAAACTAGTGCTTTTTTAAACTCCTGAGTTTATGATAATTTAGATAGCTGCAATAAAAAACTAATATACCTGGGTGCTTGCCTCTTGGTCTTGCAAGGGTGCACACCTTGCAAAGAGGTGTCCAGGTCTGGGTAGGCACATCTGTTTGCCTTCCAGACTCCCTGTCTTGAGGGAAAACCTGTAGCCAGAAGTGAGCTGGTATGCGTGTGGGGGTCCTCCAGGGTGCAAGGCCCTGCATGCCTTGGTCTAAAGAAGGTAGGTATGGCTGTGTGCAACAGAAATAAAAATGCATCAAGGAAAGAAGAAAGCCTTACTGGACATTGTTAAAGGGAAAGCCCAGTTCCGCCCCGCAAGTTGGAGGGATCAGGTAGGCCAGCTTGCTGGAAGCGGACAAGCCCTCATGCCCCACCCCTGTTCAGGCCAAGGGTTTGACTTCTGGGTTGGAAAAAAAGTCATATTCTGCTTTGCATAATAGAAAAAGCCCGAGAAAAAGGGATTCTGAGAGAGAGAGGTGAGAAAAGAGCTGGGGAAGGAGAGAAAGAAGGGACTGGGACAGCGAAATGGTATAAAGAGCACTCCCATAACCCCAAAACCTGGTTAAATTATACTCACTAACTACTGTGACTGGAAACTGCTCAAGGAAGGGAGCTCTGTGCCTGCAGCAACATGAGATGGAAATGTATGCTGGAGAGCAACACCCAAATCCTCGAGAGGCAATTTTCTCACTCTTCCAGCTCTCAGGACCTTCAGCTGCTGATGGTGCAGGCCTGAGTGCCGTCTTCGGAAATGCCTTCACCAAGTTCATGCCCCATCCAGGGGACAGCCTGCAGCCACTGAATGACACATGAGGTATGAAGGCCTCTGTGCCCCAGTCTGAGACAGCTCGGGAGGACTATGGCAGCTCCAGAGCGCCCCTTAGGGTCAGCTGAGGCTTCCGTGGCAAGGGCATAGCACAGCAGCCCGTTCTCCCCTGGCCCCACCCTGCCTCTTTGACTCCCCCACAGGGGATTCCAAGAAAACTCCCCAGTAGAACTGTACAGAAATCTGAGTCTCAGTGTAGGCTTCCTGCAGGAACTGATCTACAGCCGAGATAAAAACAGAGACAGAGACATGACCTTAAAGACCATGAAGTCAGAAGTTGGGAGAGAATGGTCATCAATTAGAGAGGTTTGGATTGCAACAGACTGTGAAATGGGCGTGATTCGGACCCTGGAGGGTCAGAACGTCCCCAGGGTTGTCGGCAGGAGTCACAAATGCTTCAGATATATGTGTCTACTCGGGGCTACCCAGGCTACAGTGGACAGGGCATGAAGGAATCACCCCGTCTTCATCCTCAGGTCACACAGTCATTTCCAGGGCCTCTCTATTTCTTTGTGTTTGCCTAATAAGTTGCCTCATAGATTTTTATTAAAAGGTAAAATGGCTAGAAATTAGAAGTCGTGGTGAGACATTCTTAAAGAGGTGAGGGAGTAACGACATATGCGCAACTTGCCTCTAATGTCTCCCTTCTTTTGGGGACTTAAAACCCTACAAAAATGTCCTTGGAACTGGCTATGTTGCCTAGAAAATCAGAGTGTACAATATTTGTGAAGGAAAGTCTTTAATAAAATTCAGATGCCTTGATCCAGTAGACGTACTGATTATATTTGAGGGAAATAGCCCATTTATTTTTGAGGCTATGATCAAAGCATTATTTATAATAGGGAAATAAACCACTTATATTTGAGGCTATGATCAAAGTATTATTTATAATTCTCAATTTTTGGAAATCAGAAACTTCAATGATCAAAATCCAACATGAATTTTTTTTTTTTTTTTTTTTTTTTTTTTTTTTTTTTTGCAAATTCTTACTCATCCACATGATGGTCTTGTACCTCCAATGGGAAATTTTGTTTTTGAAGGATTTGGAATGGTGTGAGGACACACACAGAATGTTATGCAAAAATAGAAACAAAATTGTTTACACAGTCTGGCCTTAACTTTGTAAAAATATATGAATATGCATTGTTAGGGTTTTTCAAAATGGGATAACTGAAAACATGCAAATGATTCATTTAAAAAGGCAGGCTCTTTTCACAATAATTGTTAAGATCTTTAAGTGTAATTTTAAGGGCTGATTTCTCATATATTTTAATCCACTGGAAGAACATTGTCCATATTTTAAGTAGCTCAATCTTAAGATATGAGTCAATATGTGAATAAGTATTTAATGATGTTATTGTTTTTATTCACAACAGTGCTCCTTACAGAGGCATCAAGATTGCATATATTACAATAAACTCAAATTCAGACTCCCTGGTGGCTAAGTCACATTCAGGAAAATTCTGCGGTAGAGAAGTGTGATTTAGGACAGTAAGTGATGACATCATTAGTCTATGGTTTAGAGCAGTGGTTTCCAAAGTCTAGTCCCCAGACCATAACATCCACATCACCTAGGAACTTCTTAACGTGGATTTTCAGGCCCAATTCCAGCCCTACTAAATCAGAAGCAATGGGGTAGGACACAGAAATCTGGGTTTAACAAGCTCTCTGGGGGATCATAATGTGGGCTAGCATTTGAGCACCACTGGTCTAGATGAATAATCTTTTCCTGAGATTTATGAACTGGGGAAGGTTGGCGGTAGGAAGGATGAGATGACGGAGAGTTGGGTATGGGACCTCAGGTCTGCTATAGTTTTCAAGGCAGTCAGTCTAAAGCTCTCATTAGATTCTCAAACGTGTTTACGATCCATAGAAAAACAAAAACACTCAGAAAAACAATAGAAACAATAACAAAGTCAAAGACATAACCAGTTAGACAATCAGGAACCTCTATTTGTCTCAAGGTCCCAGTGACTGTGATGTGGTTTGGGAGGACAGATTTAGATGCCTAACTGGAACAGCTTATGGCAATTTATTGCATTTAGTTCCCAAGTAATGGCCTCCCTATATGCTGTGAATGTAAGACCAGTAGTAGAGTGGTCTCTGCCGTTTTGGTCTCCTGATCTTTTCTAGTAGGAACACCTTTGAGTTTTGGAGCCAGGCCTGCCCTCTACTTCATGTGATAGATATATCACTATATCCCATCTTCACAGGTCATAGGAATAAATGTGTAATCTCCAA